CCCCCACTATGCCACTGGTTATCAGTGATTCAGTCATGCTGGAAGCACATTATGAGCGGGTTTCAACAGGGATCAGTTCTGGGACCAGTTCTATTCAAAATCTTCAGTGATTTAGGTAATGTCATAGAGAGCACACTTACAAATTTTGCAGATGATATCAAGCTGGGTGGGGTTGCAAGTGCTTTGGAGGATAACGTGAAAATTCAAAGTGATCTGGACAAACTGGAAAATGGTCTGCGCTAAATAGGATGAAATTCAGGTTTCAACAGGGATCAGTTCTGGGACCAGTTCTATTCAAAATCTTCAGTGATTTAGGTAATGTCATAGAGAGCACACTTACAAATTTTGCAGATGATATCAAGCTGGGTGGGGTTGCAAGTGCTTTGGAGGATAACGTGAAAATTCAAAGTGATCTGGACAAACTGGAAAATGGTCTGCGCTAAATAGGATGAAATTCAGTAAAGACAAATGCAAAGTATTCTACTTAAGAATCAACCATCTATTACACACCTACAAAATGAGAAACAACTGCATACGAAGGAATATTGTGGAAACACATCTAAGAGTCATAGCGGACCACAAGCTATGTATAAATCAACAGTGTGACACTGTTGCAAAAAAAAGACACACACACAAAATCAATCTGGGATTCATTAACAGGTGTGTTGTAAACAAAACACGAGAAATAATTCTTTTGCTCACCTCAGTACAGATTAGGTCTCAACTGGAGTATTGTGTCCAGTTCGGGGTGCCACCTTTCAGGAAAGATGTAGACAAATTGGAGAATGTCCCAGGAACAGCAAGAAACATGATTAAAATTCTAGAAAACATGACCTATGAGGGAAGGCTGAAAGATTGGATTTGATTAGTCTGAACAGTTTTCAAGTATCTCCAATGCTTTTACAAGGAGATGGGAGAAAAAGTATTCTCCTTAATTTCTTTTAGGACAAGAAGCAATGAGTTTAAATTGGAGCAAAGAAGATTTAGATTGAACATTGGGAAACATTTCCTGGTTGAGCATTGGAATAAATTTCCTAAGGTGTTTCTGGATTCTCCATCATAGATTTTTAAGAGCAGTGGATAGACGAACACCTGTCAGGAATGGTCTTAAATGTTGCTTGGTCCTGCTGTAAGTACTTGGGACTAGACTTATTGATCTCTAGAGGTCCCTTCCAGTTCTGTGATTCTGTGTTTTCAAAGGGAGATTGGTTGCTTGTTCCCAGTTCACCAAGCATTCTAGATTGCTCTGTATCAGTGACTTGTTCTCATTATTTGCTATCTCACCCTAAGTTTTGTCTCTAATGAAAACATTATCAGTGATGAATTTGTGTTTTCTTCTAGATCATTGATAAAAATGATAGTGTAAGGTCAATAACTGTTTCCTGTGGGACTCCAGTGCAAATATCATTCATTTAATGGTGATTCCTCATTTATAGCTATATTGTGAGAACAATGTTAGCCAAAACAAAATACAGGACTATGTAGCACTTGAAAGACTAACACGATGGTTTATTAGATGATCAGCTTTCGTGGGCCAGACCCACTTCCTCAGATCAAATAGTGGAAGAAAATAGTCACAACCATATATACCAAAGGATACAATTAAAAAAATGAACACATATGAAAAGGACAAATCACATTTCAGAACAGAAGGGGGATGCCTGTGAGTTAATGATATTAGAGGTGGGGAAGGGTAGATGTCTGTGAGTTAATAGTGTTAGAGGTGATAATTAGGGAAGCTATCTTTGTGGGGGGGGGGGGAGGTAAATGTCTGTGAACTAATGGTATTAGAGGTGATAATTGGGGAAGCTATCTTTGTAATGGGTAAGATAGTTAGCGTCTTTGTTGAGACCAACGCGTAGAGTGTCGAATTTTAGCATGAATGACAGTTCAGAGGATTCCCTTTCAAGTGCAGATTTAAAAGGCTTCTGAAGCAGGATGCAGGTAATTAAGTCATTGAGACCGTGTCCTTTCTGGTTGAAATGGCAAGAAACTGTTTTTTCTTTGTGATCCTGTCTAATATCTGTTTTGTGGGCATTGATCCTTTGGCGAAGTGTCTGAGACGTTTGTCCAATGTACAAAGCAGATGGACACTTTCGGCACATGATAGCGTAAATTATATTTCTGGATGCACAGGAATATGTATTCTTGATCTTATAACTCACTTGGTTAGGTTCAATAATGGTATCAGCAGAGTGAATATGTGGACAAAGCTGGCAACGGGGTTTGTTGCAAGGGAAGGTACCAGGGTTGGTATTAGTGTGGTATGTCCTATAGTTGTTGGTAAGAATCATCTTGAGGTTAGGTGGTTGTCTATAGGAGACTATGGGTCTGTCTCCCAGAGCCCCTTGGAGTTTAGTATCCTATATCAGAAAGAGGCAGCAAGGGTGCGGGGAAGGAGGGGTTACTTCAAAGTGGCAGTGCTGCATGAAGCCTGGGGCCAGACCCTTGGCTCCACGTAGTGCTGCAGCTTTGAAACATAAGGGAGTCCGCAGCTGGCCCCAGGCTGAGCATGGTGTTTCAAAGTGGCAGTGCTATGTGGAGCCTGTGGTCAGCTGGGGACTGCTTGAGTTCCCCACTGATTCTGTGCTTCCTGCAATGCTTTTGTCTTTGAAGTTAAGCAACAGTGACACTGTTGCTACACTTCAAAGGTGGAGGTGCCCTTATTGACTAGTCGAATAGTTAATGCAAATTGCATTGACCATTTGATTAGCTGATTAAACTGAATTTAACATCCTAGTTAGGTCAGATAATCACCAGTACAACATACTTACCATGCAGACTCACCACTATGAAAAAGGTCATCTTCTCTCGTGTAGAATGGTCCAGGCTGAGGTTGATGGTGGGGTGTAGGTTGTTGAAATCTCTGTGGAATGTCTCCAGTGTTTCTTGGCCATGCGTCCAGATCATAAAGATGTCATCAATGTAGCGTAAGTAGAAAAGGAGTAAAAGGGGACGGGAGTTGAGGAAACGTTGTTCTAGGTCAGCCATAAAGATATTAGCATACTGTGGGCCATGCGTGTACCCATGGCTGTGCCGCTGATCTGGAGGTATAAGTTGTTCTCAAACTGGAAATAATTGTGGGTGAGAACAAAGTTACATAGGTCTGCTGTCAGATTGACAGTGGTGTCCTCTGGGATAGTGTTTCTAATTTCTTGTAATCCGTCTTCTTGTGGGATGTTGGTGTATAGAGCTTCTACATCCATGGTGGCAAGGATGGTGTTATTGGGGAGGTTATTGATGTTTTGTAGTTTCCTGAGGAAGTCAGTAGTGTCTCGGAGATAGCTGGGGGTGTTGGTTGCGTAGGGCTTGAGGAGAGAGTCTACATAGCTGGATAGACCAGTAGTGAGCGTGCCAATACTAGGTTTATGGATTTTGGGAAGCAGATAGAACAATCCTGGTCGGGGGTCAGAAGGTGTGTGTGTGGGGATTTCTTCCCAAGTAGCTGTAGGGAGGCTGTTAAGGAGACAGTGTAGTTTCTTTTGGTATTCCGAGGTGGGATCAGAGGAGAGAGGTTTGTAAAATGTGGTGTTGGAGAGTTGTCTGGTTGCCTCCTGGTTATAGTCGGCCTTATTCATAATGACCACAGCACCACCTTTTTCAGCTGGTTTGATTATAATGTCCAGGTTGTTTTTGAGACTCTGGATGGCATGGTGTTCAGCGCGGCTGAGATTGTGTGTCGCTTGTTGTCGTTTGCGAATAATGTCAGTCTGTGTGGTGTTGCGGAAGCTTTGTATATAGCTGGAAGAGCTCAGCTAACTGGAAAGAAAAGGAACTGAGAGTGAGAGGGGTGGGAGTTAGGTACTGAGTGACATTGTGGTGAAGAGACTCTATGGGAAGGATAGGATTGCAGCAAACAGCCAAATCAGCACAGAGCAGAGAAAATCTGGTCAAAACTGTCACAGGTTCTCCGAAGATCCAGTGATCCTTCTGTTGGCTGTTTCTGCTCTTTCTGGCTGGTTCCACTCTGCATTTTTCTCTCACTGCCACGTGGCGAGTAATAGGTAAAGGCACTTCAGGATCCTAGAGACCTTAGTGCATGTGTTGGAATCTTACCTGCACAGATCTCGTGATGGACAAATGGCCCTGGCCGGACTCCATTTTATCTTCTCACCTAAGTTCAGTAGTCTCAGCTTTGTCTACTTCTGTCCCTGTCATTTTATTCCCTTTTGAACTTCTGTTTTATGTTCTGGGCTAGGGGGGCTGAAAAGTGAGCAGTTCCTTGCTGATGTGACAAAACTTTCAGGGTATTTCATTTCTCTGGGCCACATCCTCATCTGTAAATGTTCAGAGCCCCATTGGTTCCTGTAAAGCCATGACCGTTTACACCAGCCTAAGATCTATCCACTGTCTACACATCTGCTCAAGTACTGGATGGCTTTGTATTGTTGCCTACTGCTACTAACCTACTTTCAATTAGTAACATCACAGCAATGCCCATGTAGCTTGGGAGTTGTAATACTCATTCATCCCTGATTCTTCTGAGCTTGCCTGACTTCTTGTTTTGTGTTGTTTGAATAGCTGAAAGAGGTTGCATAGTTTCCAAGAGCATGTGGTTTGCTCTGTGCATTTAAGCTTTGATTTCTTGACCTGCAGGAGCTCCAAAGGGATATAGAGAAACACAGCACTGGAGTGGCATCCGTTCTTAATCTGTGTGAGGTACTTCTCCATGACTGCGATGCTTGTGCCACAGAAACAGAGTGTGACTCCATCCAGCAGGCCACCCGAAACCTGGACAGACGATGGAGAAACATCTGTGCAATGTCAATGGAAAGGCGACTTAAGTAAGCACAAAATGCTCATAAGAGACTCTCCAGCTGTTTCAATGTGGAAAAAAGTTGCTATTCCTCAAATATTCAGTTTCCTCATAAAATATTCTCCATATTAAAGGCAGACCATGTCCCTTCTCCGGCAATGGGATCTGTACAGGCAGGACTCTGTGCTTGTATTGAACCAAATTGATGTCATTAGGGTTATGTACAATCCCAGATGCCTATCCACTGAATTGCAAGATCAGGGCTCAAATTACTTTTCTGCTTCCTGTATAATTATAACAACATTGTTTTTTTAATCAGCTGAATTTTTTCAATTACTTATTTCATTTATAAAAAGTTTGTTACAAAAACATGTTTTCAGTGGATATTCTTGAAACTAACACTTTTTTTTTAACTGATGAATTGGAAAGAAGAATGGCACTGCATTCTTATTTTAATTCAAATAATTTATGACAGAAATACTTAGTCATTTTAATGTTTGTTTTTAAATAGTACCAATACACAACCTCCTCATAGCTGAGTTTCCCTAGAAAATTTGAAAATTCATGGTGCAGCATTTTACTTTCTTATAAGAATTGTTTGATTCTGCAGTTGAGTGTTGTCTCTCAAACATTCAACTAAATGGAGTTTTTATACAGAGGACTACATTTTGACAAATGGACACATTTTTAGAACTCGTATTGCAGCTCATAATGTTCTTTTCATACAAATTCTAAATGAGGATTTGCGCGCACGCGCACACACACACACATACACACACACAGAGTTGCTGTCTTATTCCAGCTTAAACTGGAATCAGCCAGCCTTTTATGTTATCCATTTATCAACCTTGCAATCAAGGCTTGGTTAAGAGCCAGTTATTGTTCAGTGCAGCCTTGGTTACCTATTGTAGCTTATGATTAGGCAGAGCGTTGCAGGTCAAATGACCTCAAATCTAAATGTACCCTAATTTTCCATTTCTGTCTCAGAATTGAAGAGACGTGGCGGCTATGGCAAAAGTTCTTAGATGACTATTCTCGCTTTGAAGACTGGCTGAAAATTTCTGAGAGGACAGCTGCCTTTCCTAGCTCTTCTGGTGTGCTGTACACGGTTGCCAAGGAAGAGCTAAAAAAATTTGAGGTAACTTATTATGTTTGAAATTTAATATCTCCCAATCCTATTACAGCAACCAGCTGGTTCTTCTTTCAGTACATAACCTGCTAACCACAGAAACACTGTACAGAAGAGTTGATGATTTTGCAGCTGTCTCTGCTAGTGTGTGTGTGGTTTTGTTATATATATATATATATATGGAGAGAGAGGGGAGAGGGAGACTCACTCTATATCATCCAGTCTGTCATCCTAGCGATGCAGGATTGATCTCCACAGTACATTGCTTTCAGTCCTGTTCACTGTAATTTTTAAAATCCCAAAATCTTCTACCATTTCATGGTTCATTACTGAAACACTGACTGACCTCTTAATTATAGTGAAGCCAAAGGTTATCCTGTAATAATCACGAAAAGGTAAAGATCTGGAAAATCAGTATTCTGTTCACAGTCCTTCTGCCCGTTCATTCCATCCTCCTGCCATTCAGTGACCAGTGTTTAAATCCTATTTAGTGAGTTACTGACAATGGGAGACTACCATGCATATTTCAGCTGTCCATTATAATCACAGCTGACCTGATTTTTCCCTAAGTCTATTTCTCTATATATGTTTTCTTACTCTGTGTCAGCCTTTATACACTGACCTTTACCTCCCAACCCATACCACAGTATCGTCACACAGACACATGGAACTTAGATTTCAGACATGGAGAATAGTTTTTAATCTAGTACTTCTGTTTAAATTGTAGCATCTACATGGACACACTGCTACTATTATCTCAAAGTAGAGATGTAAGTCTAAAATTAGTGATCAGGTGGGGGTGGCCTTGACCAGAGACAGAAAATTGAGTTTCTTCATATGTAATTGTACTTTTTTCCTAATTTTATTCTCTTATCCATGTCACCAATAAGATAAAACCTTTTAAGAATTCTAGCAAAGCACTTTAGCAGGCTGTCAGTCATCCACCATGTCATGAACTCCATTGTATGAAAGCACGCAGTAGTCCAGAATTTCACTGAGGCTGTAATGCAAAGAAGAACATAAACAAATGAAGTACTGCATGGCTGACCTGAAAATTGGAAAACACATAATTGCTCCTTTGCTAAATAAGAGTTGATACAGGTGAGGTGACATTGTAAATTTACAGAGAGTTGCAGGTTACAAGGTCAAATCTTTTGTGTTAGTAGTAAATCAGTGGTCGGATTTATAGTTCTTTCATGAGCTAATGTGCTTCTCACTCTAGTTACTGAACTGCTTATGAGTTGCTTTCTTATTTCATTGGTGTTTAAACAAAGACAGTAATTAAAGTGACAAGAATCAAAGTGTATATGGTTGTTTCAAAGTAGCTTCTTTAACTGTCTTTGGCTTCATTGCATCAACGTGCTTATTTTAGTTTTTAATTAACACACATTTTGACAAGTGATAGCATTGTGGCAATATGCATCCGCATAACTGATGCCGATAATGAGTTTGTGTTCAGATCCACTAGCATATGTGTTTTCCAGGGTTATCATTTCTCTCCCACCTCCTGTCCTCATGGCCATTTTTTTTTTCTTTTTGCTACCTAATGCTACACAGTGCAAACTTGCAGAACTGGAACCAAAGCCAATTCATCTCTTTATCATTTCCTTTAAATCACGTGTCCCAGGTAGAGCTGGATGAAATAACACATTTAAGCCTTTTTCTCTGTTCATGACTTATGAGCAAAACAAACATTGTTTTGAGAAATTGTCAAATTTGTGAACAAATTCAAGTTTTTTCTTTAAGTTCTTGAAGTGGCCTGGGTTTTTTTAATATTTTGAGTGTGATTGATAATATATGTCACATGGCACTGTTTCTGTTCCCAAATTGATTTACTAAAACTTTTATAATCTGGAGGATTTGAATAAGTCACATGTGGAATGGTCATTTGTTCATATATAGATTTGTACAAATATTCACTAAACTTTTGTTCTGTGTGAATGTGGAAATAAAAATGTCTCATATTTGTCATTTTGAAGGTAAATAAAAGGTGCCTGGAATACTGTCCAAAAAATCACAATTATTATTTGTACTATACACACTGCCCTCTAATGTAATATTTTAAGAGACTTTTAATATGTTTCAAAATGTACACCCTTCATATTCTAAAACATGCAGCTAAAAGATTGGCTAGCCAGTCTTGGAATAAATCTGTGCTTACTGTTGTCATTGTGACAGGAGCATTTTCACTGAAATGCCTGGTACTTACTTCCATGTATTGATTTTGCTCATCCCAGTCAAAAGACCCCAGTTGTACAATCAGGTCAGTACTACAAACATCTGCACCCAGGTCGGAGTCAATATGGCTCCCCAAAGAGTCTGCCTGTGCAGACCCAATTTCAGGATTGTAACCAAAGGCAAGAATGACGTGAGACCATTTACCAGTTGCAGGAACTAACAGTCTGACAGCGTCAAAGTGTTGTTTCCATTGTTACTTTAGGGTTTCCAGCGACAAGTGCATGAAAGTCTCACACAACTGGAACTGATTAACAAACAGTACCGCCGCCTGGCTCGAGAGAACCGCACTGACTCTGCTTGCAGTCTCAAACAGATGGTCCACGAAGGGAACCAGAGATGGGACAACTTACAAAAGCGAGTCACTTCCATTCTGCGCAGGCTAAAAGTATTTCTTCATTTTCAAGCCTTTCTCTTTCAGAAATAGACTATATACGTGGGAGATATTGTGAGCTTCTGACTTTTCAAGCCATTGCAAGATTTCTCTTTGCCTAGGTTTTTTAAATTTTATTTTGATAATATAATGGGTGCTTCACTTAAAGTAGTAAAGTGATACACTGCGGGGGAATGTAGAGTTGGACCTGGGTGCCCGGGTCTCTGTTACAATACAAGAACAAGAGTATTTTACTGGAACTTTTATAGTTCTGCTCTTTGCAGCTGGTACTGAAGCAGGAACTTGATTTTTAAATAAAATCTTATTTAAATAAATATCCATTTTGTTTTAATGATATATTGTAACCACCCTGGCTGCCTCTTTGAGGCCAGGATATCATAGAGAAGATGAATGAAGAAAGTATACTCATTTCAGTCAGACTCAGAGGGAAGTGAAAACTAATTTCTGTGGAAACCTCACACTGTTTATTTTTTCAGCATTTTATTGGCCAGCGCGAGGAGTTTGAAACAGCACGTGATAGCATTCTGGTCTGGCTAACAGAGATGGATCTGCAGTTGACCAATATTGAACATTTCTCAGAGTGTGATGTCCAAGCAAAGATAAAGCAACTCAAGGTATGGGAGGCTAGCCTGTCCAGTGGTTCCCAAACTTTTTTATACCATGGACCGGCAAACTCATTCACAAACTTTTGGCAGACCAGCAGCACTTTATTTGCATATTTGCATGTTCCTTATTTAAATCATGAAGATGCAAATATGAAAGTGTAACTGTTCTTCCAAAATATGTATGCCAGCCCCAGCCCCCAGAGCCACTGTAAACAGCTGGCTTCAGCTGTGGCAGCTGTCCGTCACATGGCAGCTGCCAGAGCTGAAGCCGGCTACTGTGTGGCAGCTCAGGATTGGGGTTAGGATACATGCTGGCCCCCTGAGCCACCCCACAGCAGCTGGCTTCAGCCCCAGAGCCACCATGACCAACTGGCACTATGCTATGGCCCGGCAGCCAGCAGTTCATGGCTCAGCACCAGTCCGCGGCCTGGTCATTGGGAACCACTGAGCCAGTCCATGTCATCAAAAATATTCAAACAGGAAATTAGAGCATAAAAATGTTCCACGAAAAGTGTTATGTGATGAAAACCCTTGATTCCCAAGATGTGGGTTGAGCTCCAGTCAGTCAGTGCCACTATCGCTCTTCACAGAGCATGGTGTATGTGCCGATGAATTCTTTGATGACTGCTGAGTCCAATGTCCGAGTGGCAGTTCTGTGCATAGGTAGGGCACACCCTTACACTAGCAGTGCTCTGAATCTGAACAACAGAATCTTTTCTCCTTTGACACTGGTCAAGGAGTTTGATCCAGTTTGATCCCATCTACCTCGCAATGCCTAACTCCATCTGTAGTCTGTCTCCACCAGCTAGAGCAGTATTTTGCACTCCTTTCCCAATCATCCACTGAGATGCCAAAGGGATACTAAGTCATTTTTGCAAGCATCCTGAAATCTGCACAGCTATCTACTCTTTCTGGACCCCTCACAAGAAAGAATACAGCTGAATATTTTTTCTCTCAACATTAAGGAGAGATGTACCTCTGTGGTTATTATAGTCACATTCTGTCTCCTTTGTGTTGGATAAAATACTCATCCTTCTAATCCTGAGACAGTTTCTTCCTTCCATGAAAGTAACAATACCTTGTGCAATTTTTGCAGCAAGTCTTTGTTTGCACATTTGTAAATCTCAGCTATGTAAACAGATCCTGAAGCTTTGTTGTTGGGAACCTTTTGAATGCTTTGTTCAGTTTCTGTAGGGTAAGTTTGGCATTCTGCAAACTTCAATCCCAGGAAATTAGTCTAGTTGGTCTGCCACAGATGCCCTTTCCTTCCCTTTGTCAATTCTGATATTCCCTTCCCGATCTTGTTCTTTATTGGCCCAATGGTCTTTAGAATGCCCTCATACAGTCATCTACTGTCACCTGTGTCAGCTGCCTGTTGGATGCTGTCATAGAGACCCATCCAAAATTCTTGAACACCAATCCTGAAAGCTAGTTGAACAATATTACAAGCTTCTCTTAAGTTGTTGAGAAAATCAGTAGTAGAAGTAGACTTGTGCAGATCTTTTCCTCTCAGGAAGTGGCAGCGATATCTCCGAATGGTCTACAAACCAGTTGACATTTTTAGTACTCTTTCCAAAACTCTTGATTGTCACATTGTTCACACTTATCTTCAGGACTTCCCATGCACGTGAAGTAGTTTCATTTGTTCTATCTGTCTTTGCTGCTACTTCATTAAAAAAGTTGGTTCTTGATCATTGATTTGGCACAAGTCAATATGAGGTTTGTGGTAGTTTTATTATGGTGAATCTTCTTGACATTTCACTTTGACACAGACCATGCTTTTTGCTGCTGCACAGTTTTTGCTTTTGAAGGATTATGTATGCAAGATATCTCTCAAATATGTATGCCTTATCAGTGCCAAGTCCAGTTGACACTAGTCCAAGGGATTCAGGTATCTCCATTATGATGATTTTCTGATGTTACCAGCAATTAAGGTGTTGGTCACCAATAAACCTTAACTGGTACAGAGCTTGAGAATTCTCTGACCATTGTCATTCGTACATTTAGTGCGTGCCCACCCAGAATCCAAGGCAAGATCTCAGCATTGGATCCAGCTCTTGCATTGAAGTTTCCAGGGATTAAGATGGGTTCCTTCCATGGAATCCTGCCCATCATTTCTTCCAGCTGTTGGTAAAAGCTATCCTTCTCCTTATCACTAGCCTGCAGCGTTGGAGCATAGACACTGATGAGGTTAATGAATCCTGAATCCTTTCTGTAGACTAATACAAAGTGTCATGACACATATGGACACTGCAATCAGAGCTTCGTGCAATGACATAAGTTCATTTCTGAGAGCACACCATACGCTCGCCTTCCTCCTTCAGGTTTGCTGTGCCAGTAAGTGGTGGTATCCTTCTCCCTTCTGAACACTGTCTGAGAGCTGAGTTTCCAAAAAAGCTGCAATATGAATTCTGAAACATGCAAACTTGTTATTTGGCACAGCCATTTTCCTCAAATCAGAAGAAAGATCAAAGTTGTATCCAGGGGCCAAAGTCCAAATATTCCAGCAACCAATTCTGTTTGTTTACATCCTGGTTCAGTTTTTTTACAATGAGACAGAGCTTGTTTGACCTACCCTTTCTAGGGCCAGCTTCACATGAGGCAAGCAGGCCATCCTTAACCGGTAGCTTAGAAATCTTGGTAGCTGCTGTCTAGCACTTGTGCCTCTTTCAGATCTCTGCGACCATCTTGCCAAGACTTTCAGTGCAAAGTGATGGAGGAACAGAGGCTGCCATACATGTCATCCCCCCACCCCTTTTAGACCAGTGAGCCGCAATCCAAAGTCCAGAGCAAGTTTGGCCATACAGGATATGTCTACTCAGCAGGGCTAACCTAGGCATAAGCTATGCAACTTCTGCTATGTCAATTGCGTAGTTTATTTCAAAGTAGCTTATTTCAGCTTTTGGCGTTGTCTCCCCAGCAGGAAGTTGAAGGAAGAACACTCTCCCTTTGGCTTCCCTTACTCCTCGTGAAATTAGGGTTATGGGAGTCAGAGTAAAAAGTCCTGCAGCTTGACATTATTTTGAAATGAAGGCTTGTAGCATAGAAGCATTCTTTGTTATTTCAGAATAATGCCAGTTATTCTGAAATAACACTGCTGTGTAGACTTACCCTCAGTGATAGATTATAGCGTCTGCCAAAGAACAAACTGCATAGAGGTGCTAACTGTCTGCAACTTCAGCATAAGCACCTGTTCTGTCAGGGTGAGATCCTTCAGCCTTTCTTCAATCAAGAAGCATGCACAAGGCAGCATAGGATGCAGTTTAATGTCATGCCCAGGACATGAGCTCATCCCCAGTACTGACACTACAGAACAAGGTTATTAGGGACTGGTAGGGTTCTGTGAGAGAGAAAAGGTATGCCCACAAGTGTGTGCATAGATGGCAATTTAAATTAAAAACAAAAGTATAGGGGATAACCTCAGTGCTTTGATTTTTTCATCTCTCAATTAAATCATTTCCAATCACAAGGTCCTATGTATTATGGCTGAGGGCATAACTGCCCTGCCTTGTTTGTTCATGGTTTCGGCTTTCCTGCAATGTGACTCGTTATTTACTGAGTGCTCAGGAACATCTGCAGTCTGAATGGCACTGAGTGGCTTACCCAGAGGACAATGCTCTTCCCAAATACAGCAACTTCTAAGAGTTGCCGAGTAAAATTAAGTGCTACCTCATTAGCTTATATTGGAGAGTACAACTAGGGAATGCTGAGTTGCACCATCAAATTTTGCTTACCCTGTGTAAAGGTCCTTATTTGTGTTTGCTAAATATACCATCTCTGCTACCAAGCTCTGTAAGACATAGCATTCATGGTTACTGTGGATTGTTTAATGTTGGGTTAAATGATAACAAAAAGTCATGGTTTCATATGCTGCACAGGCTTTCCAGCAAGAGATCTCTCTGAACAACAACAAAATTGAGCAGATAATTATCCAGGGTGAGCAGCTGATAGAGAAAAGTGAACCCATGGATGCAGCTGTCATAGAAGAAGAACTGGATGAACTCCGCCGTTACTGTCAAGAGGTCTTTGGTCGTGTGGAACGCTACCACAAGAAATTGATTCGCCTTCCTGTATGTACCCTCTTTGATTTTTTTTTTATTTTAAGATTTATTGTTAATTTACAAATATAGTAATGGTGACAGAATGTATGTAGGGAAGGGTGTAATGTATATGGCAAAACACCCGATGATCTTTACTTGTAACCCTGATCCTTTCCTTTCCCCTGCACTTCTGTGTATTCTCACATATTGGGGTAGTAGGTCTTATTTAGACTGCAGACTCTTCAGGGCAAAGAACCTGTCTCATTTCTGTAGAACATATTGTGCTCCTATGCGTTACAAGTCAGAGCTTTATGAATAAATGACAGTAGAATAGTGGTGACAAAATTCTTCCTGTCCTGCAGGCTGAATTCCATTGAATAGCACTAAGTTCACAGAAATAAAGACACGCCTTCCTTGCAAAGCTGATACAACTTTAAGTATGCAGAACTGAATGTACAGCTGGGAAGCGAGAGAGGGTGGTTTTTAGAAATCAAACTGGAAAGCCCCACTGAGGCAAAACACTTTTCACAACATGAAAGAATAGATGAGAACAACCATCCAGATAAATGACTTTTATAGTTTCTGTAATTTGGTTCCAAAATGTTGCTCTAATTTCGCTGTCTGTGGAGATAGTATCTGGAGAAAATTTGGAGACAGTTGCCTCACATGAGACTATACAGATGAGCATTAAGCAGTGAAGATGAATTTATTCTTAGCCTTTTACTCATTTTATCCCTTTATTTTATATGTATTTAAAAAAATCAAAGGAGGATCAAAGAAAGATACAAAATGAGGATCCAGTCAGTCTGAATGTTACCCAATGACATTTTTATCTCAATGACCTAGGTAGAAAGGACATTGTTTCCCAGGGTTGAATTAATAGTCTTTATTTCTGCTATTTTCTTCTAGCTGACAGACGATGAACATGAACTCTCTGACAGAGAGGTGGATCTGGATGAATCAGCAGATCTCTCTGACATACACTGGCACGACAAATCTGCAGACAGTGTTCTCTCCCCACACCCTTCCTCCAACCTCTCGCTGTCGCTTGCCCAGCCAATGAGAAGTGAGCGGTCAGGGCGGGATACTCCTGCAAGTGTAGATTCCATCCCCTTGGAATGGGATCATGACTATGACCTCAGTCGGGACCTGGAGACAGCCGTTTCAAGGGTACTACACTTAGAGGAGGAAGGACAAGAAGACAAAGATTTCTATCTTAGGGGTGCAACTAGTATTGCAGGTATTGATTCCCCCCCCCCCTCTCTCTCAGTAAAGGGAAATAAATATTCCATTTAGGATCATACCGCCAGGGAGTTTCTTAGGCATGGGCAAGTATTTCAAAGAGCTGTCCTGGAATGGTGCCTTTAGCTTCCTGGGTTTTGACACAATATTGCAAGCTTCTGGATGTGTGCAGGCTTAGAATATCACAGAGACATATTCACTGAATGGCAAAGAGGGAACTGGCAATCTTGCACCTGAGTCTGCCAGATGTGACTAATGTTAGCTAATACAGCTTAATGACTAGCGCCAGGGTTCTCAAACTTGATTGCAGCTTGACCCCCTTCTGACAACAAAAATTACTATGCAACCCCCTAGGGGAAGAAGGAAACAAAACCTAGGCCTGCCTAAGTGCTGCTCCAGGCAGGGGTCCCAAAGCCTATGGGTTCAGACCCAGGCTGGACCCTGGAATATGAGCCCGACCATCCCAGGAAGAAGCTCTTGAACTTTAGCTTCAGGCTATGGGGCTTTGGCCTGGGACCCCAGCACATCTAATTCCAACCTTGGTGACTCCATTAAAATGAGGTCATGACCCACTTTGAGGTCCCTGTCCTCAGACTGAGAACCGCTGGACTCTGGAAATGGTACTGGATGATTGGAAGAAAAATGAGAGGGAGAGAAAACTCCAAGGAAACATTTGACTTAGTCACCCGCGTGTTAAAATCTAAGCAAGTTTTTACTCTGTCCTTACTCAGACAAGACTCACATTGACATCTTTGGGAAGTTTTATAATAACTTCAGGACTCGGCCTTTAATGAGTTCATGCAACCTGTCTGTCTTTATGACTGTGTGCATATTGTACAACAAATACTGACGAGGAAATGTGTTCTCATGTTTGAAGCATGTGGACATGGTCCATTTGTTGTTAGGGATGTTTAAGATCAAGATTCTGTTCTGTGGTTAATTGTGACTAGTTTGTGCTTTTTCTGTTCTTTGAAACCTTCTAGAAAGAGGCTGTTTGTCTTTTTAAGGTGTTTTCAACAGGAATTTTGCGATGAAATTTAACTCTGCTTGTTCAAAAGGAATGTGTGCTGTAAATGTGTGCTGGTAATCTACTCTCTTTCCAGGGAAGTTGGTCTCCTGCTACAAGAAGACAATGATTGCTGAGACATCAACTCAGATTGTGCTTGTATTTTTGCAGATGTAGAGATCCCAGAAAGCCCTGAGGCCTATGTAAAACTTACTGAAAAAGCACTCAGAAATATATCTGGTAGGCATAAAATTAAAGCCAAAACATAGCCAAACCAGATAACTCAACCCATCCCTGTAACAGTGTCCTCTTAGCTCATCTGCTGCACTTTTCACGGCTTACACGATAGATATTTTCTCACATGGCAGCACTAGCATGTTAATGCAAAATTTTCTTGCTTTACTACCATTTGTAAAGGTGTTGTTTCTTCCATGTCCCCAGCAGGAGTGGAGAGCATTTTAAAAAGCTGGCTAGGGTGCAATACGTTTTAGCTAAGTTACTGGCTAACTAGATGTAGCTAATCATATTTTACTAAAATTGGTACCAACTGCTTGATGCCCAGACTCCAATATTATAGTAGAAGGAGTCAAAATAAGAGACTCTTATAATTGGGATCCCAACCCTTGGTTTTCTTCTGGGAACAGGCTGGCTTCTTCAGAGATGAGGGAGCATCTTCAGCAGACTTCTCTGGGGATGAAGGCAGAGGTGGAAAGGTGATGACAAAGGATAGTCCAAAGCCCAGTTCTGTATCTTAGTCCCCCAGGTAGTAAGTTATGCATTAACAATTTTCCTCACCCATAAAAGCATAAAATATGAATATTTTCAAAACAGTTTAAAAGTGGAAATGAAAGAGAAGGTGGAGATTTTATCATTTTACCCATTGCTTGCCTTTTCTTAAAAACAGAGAATTTGTCCTGTGGACAGTTCACACCCTTATGTTTAATTTCCTGTATAAAAAGAAAAGAATTCGAGAGATCACATGCACTTCCAGATACCTTCACCCAGGGGCTCCCACTCTATCCCTTGACAAAGTGTCTGCATTGCACGCTTCAACCTACTTGAGTTCCAAAGAAAGCTTGGCAGTGTGGGCAAGTCCAACTCTTAAAGATTCCAGCCTGCAACAAGGAGCTGTATTTCACGATCTACTTTTGCAAATAAGTGTTACACACACACCTAACTCTACCACACTGTCCAATTAGACTGAACCAGCAGGTTTTTCTGAGAGTATTGAGCACAACAGTGAGTATAGAAAGACATGTGGTTACCTTTCCTGTACTGCTTCCAATGTCTTCAATTCCAGAAGCTTCCTTACCAATTTGCTCCACTCTACTCCTGTTCCATTCTACAGAAAGTACATCTGTCAAGAGAGATGATAGTACTGCCTTGTGTTGCTAGCTAGACTGAAGGGGGGAGAGGCATTGATTTTTGAACATCTTCTCCTACCTCAACCAATGGAGAGGCATATTCTAAAAGTGACTTGGTCTCTAAAAAGAAATCATAAGTTTGCCATGTCCGTTTTAGAAGCATTTCCTGCTGGGTCTGATGGATGTAACTATAACGGCATCACTTGGTATTTACACACTGCATTTCATGTTCAAAAGTAGTATAGAAATAGAATCCTCAAGGTACTCCAAGATTCTGCTATATTAGTTTAAAGAAGAATGCCACAAAGTCTACTGCAAAAAGGAGTGAGAAACTGAATTTTAAAATAAAAACTGAGAGGAGGGGCACAAATACTTACTTAGTCCTTAATGATTGCCAGATCTGAGAAGATGCAACATCCTAGAAAATGTCACTGTGTGAGGCTGGAATAAAGTCCACTGAGAATTTAGTCTTCTAAAC